ATTTGCAGGGCGTTTTCAGCGCAAGTTCAATGAAGCCAAAAGGTGTTTCTTCCTCCCACCTGTCTCGCAATTTTCTGCTGCTGCGGCAACAGCAACGAAATTGATGTGTAAATATTTTCATAAATTTATATGCCAAAGACTTCAGGGTGTCATGTTGGAAAACACGAACCAATTTCCCAATGAAATTCACTCTCGCACTCACTTTTAGGGTTTTTTTTTTTTGGCCGCTTCTGGAATGTATTTGATTTTTGTGGTGGCAATAAAACAATTTTTGTTTTTAGCAATTTCTCAGTGTGGGTGCGTGGGTTGTAAAATAAATCAACAGTAACTTAAAACTTGGTTAAAATTGTCGATAATTTTGGGATGATTGGAAAGATATTGAAGGAATGTATTCACATACATCCTTTGGGTTTTGTCTTACTTCTGCAAAGCTTTCCCCACCTTCAAGTTCAAAGCCAAAACCACAACTAATTCGTGTGTCCTACCATGAGCCACTTATTTGCAGCTATCCTGCTGTTATTCAGTGACTTATGGGGTGTGTCCTGCCAAATAAAAGAAGACCAATAAAAAGTGTGGCCAAGATAAGCAAAGTGGCACAAAAAGACCAAAGAAAACCAAAAAAAAAAAGACAAAAAGGTAAATAGCTGAGCAAAAAACACCAAACAAAAGCTCTGGCTATGATTTCAGTTTCTTTTGCGGTGTCCTCCCCTCTACCGTTATCCAAATTGATCAAGATATATATGCCATATGTCTGGGTTTTGCATGGCGGACTGTAACCGTAACCTGGTTAAGTGCACAACCGGTTTAGCTGTCAAGATAATTTGCCTTAGCGCTGGCAAAATGTTAAGTTTCAGATACACTTTAAGCCCTTGAAATGTTTAAATTTTGTTCAAGTTGAGAGGAGCTACTCTCTCTAGAACCCTTTGGCTGGCTGTAAGATGAATGCGTTTGCTTATCGGCTGAGGAGAGTCCTGGTCCAGCCGAGGTCAGTGACGCTCCTGCTTTCTGGCTTTCTTTCCCCTGTCAAATGTTGTTTTAGTGCCGGACAAGGCTGCGGTTGGTACGGGAGGATACGGGATACTGTTGTCTGTACGATTACATCCCCCTTCTAATGGAGACCATTCTCTGTCTATCTCACTCGCTCCGCCTCTTTCTCTATGTTGCCTGCCGGGTGTTGAAAGAGATATGTCTGCACTGTGTTGGCCTGTGTCCACTCTCCCCCTTACCCCTGGGGCCATGTGGATATCTTTCAGCTTGACAGCATCTTAACTAATATAATGCCCAATTTTCTGTGGTTTATGGCTTACGACTGTCAATGCCTCGTCCAACCATCCATCTGAACAGGGCGTCCAACCATCTTCTATCCGCCTTTCGCCCTCTTCGGTTTGTTAAGCTTTTTACGGGATTTTTCTATCTTGAAGTTTCAAATCCATTGAAAGGTCTTTATTTAAATTGATATAAATGATATGTCCTTGCGTTTTGTTTGGTCTCTAGCTGAAGTTTGCCTTTGCTTTGACAGCAGGAACTCCATGGATACTACATGGATACTTGGTAATGTAAGTGAATTTCAAATCGCCATCAAGGCTAAGTGACTTTGATTTATCATAAAAGCGCACAGACAGCATGTCTGTCTGTGTGTGTGTGTGTGTGTGTGTGTGTGTGTGTGTGTGTGTGTGTGTCTTGACCATTATTTGAGCAGTTTGTGGACACAGCTGCTTGGACCCGCATGAATGACAACTCCCTCTCAGATGCAAAAGGCAAACAATTAGCCATGGATTTGTGGCATGGGAAAGATGTTGTCTGCATCTTCTCCACGTTAGTTCAATTAAAGATATTTTCCCCTGCCAGTTGGCCATCTTTTATTTGGCCGTTTGCGCATCTTTTAACAAATTGCAAGACATTAAGTTTTTATGTTCCAGCATATATCTCACTGCCATCTCCGCATCTGTATCTATTTAACGGCCTTCCATAACAGAATTTCATTCGGCTTTCGTGGCAATTAAAATGCTGCAGAAATCGTTATTCAGATGGGGAGGAAGCGATTATTCCGCAGATGGGGTGGACGTGCATATATTTGTAGCTGCATTTAATGGGCGGCCACTTGTCCGCCATTGGATTTCGTCAAGTAATTTCCTGCACTTTATGACTTATTGCTGCTCCTTGTACTTGGATGATTACTTACGCGCTCGCAGCACAGCATTTTCTCGAGCTAATTAAAAGTACAACAAAGTGGATTGTGGTTTTTTTTGTTCAGCTTAGCTATCAGAAAATGCACACACACTCGTACATTTTAGGTGGTAATATTAATTGGTGGCCATCATTCACACGCCTACATCCACCAGCAGCCCTCAGAGACCTAAACTCAGGTGTTCCTGCCTCATGGCCCACAACAAATGCCACACAATCATTCAAACACACACAGGCACACATATCCAAACACAAATGTACAAATGCTGTACAGAGAGAGAGAGAGGGAAGGGAGATTGTCGGTGCTACATCTAAGCCGCGACGCGACGCGACGCGTTGAGAGTTGAACAACTCAATGAGTGGCACACGGGCAGCGGTAGAGACAGAGACGAGACCCAGTTTTCCAGGAAACTGAGCTTTCAGGCATATTAATTATTTAGAAAGCATTCAGATTTATTTGCTTAATTCTTCAGTCTTTCACTCTCTTTATCTGTCTCGCTCTTTCATTTATTGTTACTGCTGTTGTTACACTTTTCGAAGTGGGTAACTTCAGAGAAACAAATTCCTGAAATTGTAATAATTACACTTGGACTTAAAAATGTATACCCGACAGTGCACAGAGACCGAAAAGTGTGAAACGCGCGGGTACTTTTGCTTGCCTAAAATGAAAATATTCTGTTTAAGCACATCAATTGAAGACCTATGTAAATATATTTCATATACAAATTAAATCGTTTTTCAATTTAAATCAATTTCACGCTAACATTCGCTCGTCAAGATTACATTTTATTCATAGCTAACTCTCAGTTGTAGCTGTGTAAATATTTTAGCCAACAGCAATTGTGACATGTGAGACAAAGTCACAGCACTAGAACTTGCTGTGTATGTTGTCCAGACTTTATTTGAATTCTGTTCTTGCCACCATTTACCGACAATTGACCGACTGGCAAATATTTTACTTACTTTGCTTTACTTTTACTTCGCTTCTCCTTCTTTGTGTGCGTCCATTGCTCCTGCTGTAGGCGTTTCGGGTTACTTATGGAGTGGATGTTGTGCTTGTGTGTAGAGCACTTGTTTCGGCACTAGATTTATGCCATTTCTTGTGCGGAGACAAGTATTTTATTTGTCTTACATGGATTTTTGCCGTACATTTGTCGTATTTTCTGCTACAAAATGGAGAGGCTAAACCGCAAGGGGAGGATCTAGAGCTAAACCCAGCAAAGCAGTGCCACAGAAAAAGCATAAGTTCTTCAAAGGAAGAAAGTTCATTTGTTCCGAAATTCTTGATTTATTACAAAACTCTTTTTTGTTTGTAGCATGGTTTTTCTGTCCCTTTCGTTTCTTCATTTCCTTTAATAAGAGTAAACTTTGTTGTAATTTTTCATTTCATTTTTATTTGCATCATCATTTTCTTCAGTCTTCGTATAAGAAATAACATTTTGTTTATATTTGTTGCTGTTGTTGTTGTTGTTTTCTGTTGTGGGTGTGTCTATCATTTAATTAAATATTTTTGCATATACTCGTATATTTATATATATATAGTATTTAATGTTACGCTCCAGTTTTCCCCTCCGTTCTGCTCACACTGTGATTTTTAGTTTATATTTATAATCCATTTTATTTCTGAAAATGCATTTCGGGTGCATTTTTGCTTGTGTTTGCATCCGCCTTTTGATTCTGCTTATTTGGTATGTTTATACACTATTTTATTTGATAAATATTTATACTTTTTATACACTTGCTCTTCCCCATTTGTCAGTGTGTGTGTGTGGTTTCATGCAAATATTGTAGCGAATTTGCCATCTAAATATTTTCTTTTTAATTAAATTATTACATGCAAAAAGATCAAACGAGTGAGCGCTTTGATTTCGAAAAAAATGCGTTGAATTTATTGGCAATTTATTGCTTATTTTTGTTGGGAAAATATCCATAAATTATTTACAATAATCTAGGGGGATCTGGTAATGGTAGATATTTACAAATTCTTTCAACTTTGAGTTCTGTCTCACTAAGATTACAATTATTCCATATCATTATACTTAAAATACATCTAGAATTATCATAATTTCCTTTGTATTATGCTTTTTATGTATTTGTATATTGTCACTTTAGATGTTTCTTTTTGTTTTCTTTTGCTGAAGGAAATTGTTGGTAAAGACACATGGAGAGAGGAAGAGCGTCGGTCTGGCAAATTGGTTTCGTTATCAGTTAGTTCTAGAATGGACAGGACTGGACTATTTGGTCCCCATTTGGGTTATTTTCAATGCCAGAGGGAGAGATAGAGATGGTATACGTCTATGCATGCTCTTTCAGTTCCATGCATCCCCCAGAGCGGTACAGTTGCGTTTGTTTTTCTGGCAACAAAAATATCATTTTAAGGTATTATTCCATAAAAATATATTTTTAAGCTGCGCCTGCACAACTGTACCAAAAGAATATCCTTCTTCGTCAGCTTGTGAATGGATCATTTTACATCTATATTATCTCTATATATGTTGGTATATTGGTTTAAGTTCACTTTTAAGGGAGAGAGCTTATCCAATAAAATGCTATCTAGAGTATGCGAATGCTAAATGCCATTAACTATGAGAAAGGGAGAGATAGAAAGAGAGAGAGGGAGAGAGAGCTAAAGTGTATGATTTGAATAGTATTTCGTATTCCTTAATGTTGCTTAGTACGAGTATTCCTTATAGCTTATCGATGAGTATGTATATCTTCTTTATATCTGTTATCTTTTAGTCGTTTTGAGTACTCGTATTCATAGACATATCATATCCCTTGTTTCATTTGACGCTTGTTATACCTTTGTTGCCTTTGTTATTTTGTTTTTGTTTTTGTTTTGCTTTTAGAAATTAGAACCGAAACTTAAACAAACCATAACCTCACATTCCCTGTTTCAATGGCATCTTCGACGGATCCTAGCGATCCACACTCTTTTCAGAACTCGCTCTGCACATAGCTCCGATAGTTGTTGTTGGTGAGATTTAGGCCCACCATTTCCATTTCCATTTGCATTTCCATGCCCGTCTCGACCTGGCCACGTCCACGTCATACGTAGACAACATGCGGCTTCCCATTCGATGCCACAGCAGCAGCTGGTGGATCGCCAGATGATTTCGAGAGCGATGCCGCCTGCTTGAGTTTGCTCATGGTCTGAGTATCGGGATACTCGTAGTGATCGAAGCGCTCGTACAGATGCTCCGGCTCGTCGTCCGCCTCCTTGACGGGCAGCTCCCAGGGCTTCAGAGCCCTGTACTCATTGGCAATCGTCTGGGCGGCCAGGTAGCGCTCCAGCTCTAGCTTGTCCAGCTGCGGCAGCGTCGTCTGCTGATAGTCATGGCCACTCCCTGTGTTGTGTGCCTGCAGCGGCATCGCCTGATGGTAGTGGTGGTGCGCCTGCAGCGTCTGGGCGTTGTGTGGATAATTCATCATGCCCATGCCCCCATTGCTGCCGCCCAGTGTCATGCTCATGCCCATGCCCATGCCCATGCCCATGCCCATGCCGAGTCCATTGCCGCCCAGCGGCTGGTGGCCCTGCAGGATTCGGTCATGGACATTGATGATGCTCTTGCTGGTGCGCATGGGTCCGCGCTCGTGGAGCAGCTTCCTGCGACGCTTGACGAAGCGCAGATAGTAGAGAACGCTCACCCCGATCATGGCCACCAGGAGGCACGTGATGACGGCACACACCACCGTCACAATGTGGGCGGGGCAGGTGATTTCGCCCTCGCTCATGGACAGCAGCTGGCGCCGCGTGCGCACCGTGTCCCGCCAGATGTCGCAGCCGATCTGCTGCCGGTCCATCCGCAGATACCCAGTGTTGCGGTTTGCGGACGAGGAGGAAGTGGCCAGTTCGTAGGCACTCGGTTCGGTGGTGTGCAGGGCATTAGCAATGTGCTGCTCGGCTATGTAGGCAGCCAAAACGGCGACACCATCCTCGGCCACGGCCGCCGTGGTGGCATCATCCGTCTCCTGCTCCCCCTCCCTTTGGGTTGCCTCCTTTGCCAAGGCGGCCACAGCACCGCCCGGTGCATGCTCCAGCGGTGGCTCAATGCCCTCGAAGTTTCCGGTAACGAGGCGCCACAGCCACAGCAGCGAGCAGTTGCACTGCAGTGGATTATCCCCCAGGTAAAGCTTCTGCAACTGATCCACCGGAAACTGTGCGGAGAATAGAGTCTGCAGACTGTTGCTCTGCATGTAGACCTCCAGGATGTTGGGATTGCCCTGGAACAGGCGCATCGGTATGTCGCTCAGCTGCGGGTTGTAGTTCAGGTGCAGCGTCTGCAGGTGCGTGTTATCCACAAAGGCTCTGCAAGAGATTCGAACAGAGAATAGGCGGCATTAATTAATGACAGTTTGTCTGAGACCCCCAAAGGGAATCTAGTTTTTCCACCAGGGTCTCGGGTGTGGGTATTAATTATGCATTCAACGCTTAAGCTTAAAACTGCACACACATATTACTTATATATGTATGTACCTAAATAAATATCCTTGGAATAGCAGCTCTCTCTGCCCTTGTTGCACACATGACAACGTCAGCTTTCGACTTACGAGTAGAGCGACATGGATTTATTTAGCCCTGCGTCTATGTATTTTCAACTTAATAAAAGGAGGCAGCATGCCACATCCAACATCCAACATCCAACATCCCAAGGAGCCACGATGAATGGAAGGGCATAAAAAAAACTAAGACGAAGTCAGGAGAAAAGTCTGCAGTTTTCTCCATGTTATTCGGAGCTCCATAGAGCGTTGTCGTAAATCCCTGCCAAGTTAAGTCAACGCGCTAAGTCGCTGACTTGGGGGACGGAAAGAACGGTTCGGGGGGGGGGCGATGCATGTGCAGCTGTGTGCCTGTGTGGAGTGTAGTACAGTGCATTACCCCAGGAACCCGAACTCTCTCTATCCCCAGCATCGCTTCAGACAGTCTCAGATGTGGAAAGAAATAAGTGTAACGTGGCGTATGAGCAATGCTGTGAGGCAGCGGAGGGATCGGGTGGCGACTCCCGACTTCATCCACTGCTGACACAAAGCGAATTTGTCGCTCTTAAGCGTTCCCTGGCTCTGCAGGCAACATTTCATTTCAATACGCTCGAGAGTTTCATTCCATGTTAAATGAACGCATTTATTCCCAGAACCTGGAACCCAGAACCCAGAACCAGTTGCAGAAGGATACCCTTGCATTGATTTGATAAGTGGCTGCATTTTGTGGAACCCCTTTACTCCCCTCTCCATAAAGGGCAGGCATCAAGTCGAGCGAATCTTGTGATGAATTCGAATTGAAATGGCAACGAGAGAGCTGGCTTCATGCATGAAAACTGTTTGTCATTCATTAGGTTGAATGATGAGGAAGGGCTGGGACGGGGCTTGCACAAGTCCTTTTGGGATGCGGACAACTCTCAGAAGTAATTTTTGTGCATTTCATTTGTATAACAAATGGGTGGAAAGACTTTCCAATGAAAGAACACTTTGCTGCTTTTAGATTCCAAGTACATTTATTTTTTATGGCAAAAGGATCTCAATCACTCTCTCAACACAAAGTGTTGAGTTTAAAGTGATATTTGCACTATTTTATGCGACCCTTCGTGGTGGATTTTTTCCTACATTTCTAGCACACACATAATTCACAGACTTCCTAGACAGAACACCCTCAATTTTCCACCTTTCGAACATTCAATTTCATGGCAAGTTTAACATTTATCCTAAGTACGTACCAAACTTCAATTGCAGACCACAAAAAAACCGCAAAGAAAACTTTCGATTACCACAAAGACAAAACTCGTGTCTGTATGCGACTTACGAGTGTGAGACGAGTATATCCCCAAAACAATTTAGCGGGTAAACCTCACCGAAACAGGCAAAAAATAAATTCAATTATTTGTGCAAATATTATGCAAATATCTTTGGTGCACAGTAGAGGGAAAATCAACAGAAAAACGTGACATTGAAGGTAGCACCACGGGAATGGATTCCTCCAGACACCTCAAAGAAAAAGTTTTTCTATGGGCTGGTGGGGGTTGGGCAGAGCAATGGCTCTACAGGTTGATTTACCTACCTCATGGACCTGTTGTTGTGTTGGCGGCTTTGCTTTTGCTTTAAAATGCAACTGCCTGGCAAAAAGCACGTGACAAGGCATACAAAAAGGCAACAAAGAATGGCAGAGGGAGAGGGAATAGGTTGGCTGTTGGGGACCAACCTTTTTGCTGTTTTTGTCTGTGCTTTTGGGCGATGGTTTAAGCCATCATTCAGACTGAATTTAGCATGTTTCATGTTTTTGGTTCGCGTTTTTGGACCCTTTTGTAGAGGGTATTACGCCTGTGATGCAGAGAAGCAAAACTTTGCAACGAATTTTGCCATAAGGGTATTTCCCAGGGTATTGGCATGCCCCTTTTATGTTTTTTCGCTTCTTTTCTTTTGCATATTCTTTTTAACTCCCTTTTTGTTTGCGTTTGCCAACGTCAAACGTGCGGAAACGGAAATGGCTGTCATGTGTGTGTGTGTGTGTGTGTGTGTGTGTGTGTGTGTGTGTGTGTGTGTGTGTGTGTGTGTGTGTGTGTGTCTGTGAGGCATAAATGTTTGCCTGATTCCGTATCCTTCGTTTTCCCTTTGGCTTGTTTTTTGGGCAACCCAAAGGGGGGGTTTACTCATATGCAAATTGTTCACCCCCCGCCCATTCCCTGACTATGTGTGGGTGAATCTGAATTGGAATTGCTCGAAATCCGATTGAAATGTTTGCTGTCCGTGCACTCACTCCTGTTGGGTGGCAGAGTCACGACTTTCAGGACTCCAGAAACCATCAGAGTTCACTCACATCATCAACAGGATGGCTGGATGGATGGATGGTTGGTTGGTTCGGCTGTCTGCTTGCCTGGGTGATTGGACAGTCAATCAGTCAGACTGTCAAACAGTTTGTCAGTCGCCATTTGATACAGTTTTGAATGGTAGTCAATTCTGTCTGTATCCCCACAGTCTTCTCCCAATAACGGGCTGCTAAAAACCATCTCCATCCCCAACCTCTGTACGTCTCCCCCCATTCATTTGATTGACATTTTAACTACAACAAAATATGATGGGATATGCTCTATGTTGATGGGTTAACTGGGTGCCAAGCTCTCTCCTCTGAATAGGAGTGGCATACAGGTTCGCAGTGGTCTTTTAACAGGGATTTACGTCTAAAACTGTCCTATATAACTGGGCTTTACCTCTGAAAAGCACCTCTGGGGCTGGGTTTAAGTTTTGAAAATGTTCACAGGGCTCTAGGTTTTGCCTCTGAAATTTATATTGCGCCTGACGTTTACTCTGGGGCTGGGGTTCATTGTTCTCTTGGCCTGTGGCACTCAACTTCTATAATGAAACGGGACACTGGCCCTCATTCTCCATGTTGCATTGGCGGGCAATCGACAAATTATCAAGTGATATGGATACGGCCATTTGTTAATGACATTTTAAACGTTTTTAAATTACGCATACGCCGCATTGAACCATTAATTTTCCAACTATACGGTCGATAGTCGGGTGGGCGTCACCACCAGAATGAGAAATAGGCGAATGCATGGAAAGGTACGATAGTTTGCCCGGGCAGACATTTATCACTCGCCCATTTCATTTCACATAATTATATATTAAACATGAGCAAATAACAATAGAGGAGGCAATGCGGCAAAGCAGAGGATCATGCAAAATCGATTGCAAATTGCACAAAACACATACTTGAAGAAAATGATTGCTTTTCAATGGGATTTTTTGCACCGTAAAACCAGGGAAAATTTTAATTTTGTTTTAAATTTATGCACATTTGCGCTGCTTTTTCAAGTGCATCTCTTGGCTGTTAATGATGTCAATTTGTTTCTTATTTTTCTACCGTTTCCCCATATTTTATTTGTATCTAATTATGTTGACATAAACACGACTACAGATAATGTTTAATGGTGTGGCGTGCTAATTATGCATACATCCTATATGACATAAACAGGAGACTAGTGGCTCTTGTCCTTACCCATTGACTGCCGGCTCAGACTCTCTACCGAGTCAATGACTGCCATTTACAGAGGGACCAGGACCAGGACCAGGATCAGTGAAAAGTGGCTCGCCATTGTGTGTGTTTTATTCAGCTCTAATTAAATGAAAATGTTGACAAGAAAATGTGTCAGCTTAATGAGCCAACAAAAGCGTTGCAGAAGTCTTAATAAACACACAGTTAAGTTCACATTAAACAAAGGCTCCCGAGTCAAAAGGTTAGAATATCTTAGGACCCAACGAAATACACTGTGCTGCAACTCCTTCCTTGCATTCTTTGTTCTCATTTTTCAGCTGCAATGCAGAATTTTTTCAAAAAGAGAGAACGCAAGGTGCCGCCACGGCAAAATAACAAAAGATGTATTCATATTCGGAATGCCAACCCTTGGATGCCCTTACAGATGACTCATTTCAATAATACACCATGATATAAGCTTCTTTACACTGCATTTAAGACCCTACTGCAAAGGGCACAAAATAAAGCAGGCAGCACAAAAAAGAAAAAATAAAACATAAGCAGGAAGAAATTACGGAAACAGGAAAACATAAACATGATGGCTCTTGCTCTGGCCCTGGCCCTGGCTCTGGCTCCTCTCTGACCCCACCGCTCCTCATCAACAGTGTCGACTGTTGCCATATTTTTCCATAAATTATGAGCTGGGAAATATTTCAAGGCAGCAGGAGCAGCAGAAATACATGACTTTAGCAAACGGTTCTGCCTGAGTGCTGGAGTAGCCATTAGGCGCATTTACCAGAAGGAGCTACACAAGGCGCACAGGAGGGAGGATGGTGCAAGTTGAAGTCTGTCTATTTATGCATATGCATGTCTACAGAGTCCTCAGCCGTGCAATGCACTTGAATTTTGGGAAGAAACAGGACCCTGGCGTGGAATGAACGTGAAGATATACTGAGAAAGAATCCACGCAAAATCCACAATTAATTCCACATTCTATTTGTGCTGTAGTTCTGTTACCCTAGATTTAAACCCTTCAATCACTTCATAATCCACCCATTACCGGAGCACAGACACACACAGTCCATTACACGTGAATTCAATTCCCAATTGTCGCATTCAACTCTCACTCTCGCTGTCGCTCTCTGGCGTAACGCCCCATGGCTACAGCCTCCCGGTTCTTTGGGCTCCATTATAATTCATGGACAAGTCAACCCCAAAAAGCAGCCACAAAACAAATGATGTCACACATGCCTCACTTTCGCTCACTCTCTCTCTCTTCCTCTCTGTTGCGTTGACTTCCGCGTGCTTCCGTTGTGCATAAATTTTCAAACAATTAGTTTCAATTTTGTAAATCCGCAACCAAATAAACCGGGCAACACCTACACGTCGTGCCACATGGCAGGGATGTCAGGGCCCATGGTCCATGCGTTGGCCAAGGGGGGAATCCTTTTGCCGGAATGACTTTCCGCCATTAAGTCATGTTCACTTGATATTCCCTTTGATATGACACCTCCTTTTGCACTCCACACTTTCCACACTTTCCACACTTTTGCTGCGGTGAAGGGTTGTTTGTTTTGCTCTCGCAGGGTGGCTGGTGTTGTTGTTGTTGTTGGCATATGACAACGTGCTGCTGCCTAATGAATTTTGCAATGGACTGGCGCTGATTGTTTAGGTGTAGGGATTTCATAATTTCATAAAGCACCACCGGTGGCAGGAGCACATGTGTGTGCCTGTGTGAGGGAAATGTATCCATTTGCCCCATCGCGTGTACTCCTCCGCCTCCTCTTAAAAGCATATCCAACATTTCTACCTTTCAGATTTCCATTAACGCATTTGCATAAATATTTACATGTCTCTCTCTCTCACTTACTCCCTCTCTGTCTGTGAGGGTTATTCCGGCTGTCTCTTTCTCTCTCATCTAACTGTCTGTCTCCATCTCCAAATCTCTGCCATATCCTTTAAAGGGGTTGAAAGGGGGCAGAGGGTGGACTGTGTGTTGGCTGCCACCTTTTTTTCCATTTATTCAGATTTGGGACCCATTTAAGAGGGTATTTCCTTCAGATTTGTTTCAAAATTGTCAGCAAGATTCCAGTAAATTTTACTAAATGCCAATACTTAAAAAAGGCATTTGCCAGGGTATTTTATGTCTCGTATGAACCTTTTCGTGCCGCTTTTGGCAAATTTAATACACCATCAAGTGCTGCCTCGAACTTTTCTATACTGCCATAAAGTTTGACCATAAAATTTCGAAATAAATGTACAATTGTATAACTTACAGCCAAAATAATATCCCTGAGCATTAAAACGGAGCCACTTGCTCTAGGATTATTCCTGTTTTTTTTTTTGCACTGAAAGATACATTCAGAAACTATAAAAAACTACACCACTTGTGGCCATCTAAAACACCAAAATCTGTGCAACAAAATATGAAAAAAAAATGTGTCTGAATGGTGATTGTCTTCCAAAGGGTACAAAATTAACATAAAGCGGAAAAATTCAACCGATTTGAGTTCCATTTGGACAATTTGGTGGAGAAAGATGTACACAGAATTTAGTTAGCAAATCGCTCAAAACAGACTTGCTAGTGTGAGTGTGTGCAGTGTCTGTCTGTGTGTGTGTGTGTGTGTGTCCTTACATATGTAAATGACTGAGTAGATTGAGCAACAATTTCAACAGTCTGTTGGCAAGAATGTGGGAAGGAGAGTGGATGCGACGTAAAAGTTTACACAATTCTGAGACAGAGACCAAACAAAAGCCAAACAAAAGGCAAAAGCAATTACAAAGCCAGGCTAACAGAGAGGGTTGGCTGCTTTTGGTTGATTGGGGCGGGCACAGACAGGCACAGACAGGGGGTGTGCGTGTGTGTGTGTGTGTCTGGGATGAGCTTTAGACAAACTTGTTCCAAGAAAATCAAACAAAATGTTCAAATTCAACTGATTTAAATGGCATACGGACTTAGACGGCACTTTCTTGTGTCCCCCTCACTCACTCTCTCTTTTGTACACTCCTGCTTTCCCTTTCTGTCACGTGTCATGTGTGCCATGTTAATGTCATTGTAAAGCGTCATGTCGCACAGTAGGCGTGGCAGAGTCGATGCTGCCTGACTCTGCTGCTGGTGGCGGTGGCTGATTGACATGCCACAAGAAGGGCCGGGCCACACGAAGGTGGGGGTGGTATGGTAAGCAGAGGACTCGTTGAACGATTTGATATGAAAATTGCCTGGAATTATTGAATTAACATATGCTCGAATGGAGTTCAAGCATTTCCCCCAGCCCGACCCCTCATCCCACCCAAAGCCAACTTCCCCTTTCTGTCGTGTCTGCCTCTGACGGTGTCTGCGTGTGTGTGTGTGTGTGTGTGTGTGTGTGGTGGCATCTTATTACCAAAAGCGTATTAGCCATGATTGATTGCATTCAGCTATAATGACTTGTTGTTGTCCTTGTTCTGCAGCTGAGGCAAGCTCTCTTCCGTGTGTGTGTGTGTGTGTGTGTGTGTGTCTGTGAGGGGGCGTGGAGGTCACGTGTATGTGTGTGCGAAAGTGAATTTCCATTCATTAATTAGTCCCTCAATTCTAAAGAGTATTTTATCGAGCAATTTCCAAATGCTTTGAACTAAAGTTTACATTTGTGGGACTGAATTGTTACGAAAAGCAATTAGGCGTTGACGAAAGGCATTATAATGCCATTTATTGGGTAATTCGAGCAACAAAAGAGCTTACGTGTGGATTTAAATTTAGATTTTCTCAACAAATTAGTTCTGGTGGGACGGACAGTCCACAGGTTTCTGGATTACATTTGACTGTCCAAAGCATCTTAAATTTATAATGCTCCCCAAAGAACAATCCCAAGTGTAGTGGCCGAATGTACTCTAAACTCTTTTTCGCATTTCTTGTTTACGGCTGCCCTGGATGAAAACAAACAGTTTCATTTTCCACTGACCCACTTTCAGTTTTGTTTTGTTCCTTTCGTCTCTGGACTCTTTTTGGAGCCAGGTCAGGGGAATAGAAGTTTTGGTGTGTAGAACTTACCTCGAATCGATGCGCTGCAAATAGTCGAGGCGGCTCAAGTGCAATTCGCGCAAATGAAACAAGTTGAGGAATGCCACGGCGGGCAGGTGGGAAAAGCGATTGCCTCCAAGGTTCAAATAGGTGAGATTCGAAAGTTTCGCCAGCTGCTGGGTGGGCACCATCTGTAATAAAGAGAGCGAAAGAGTTACTTAAAGAACGGAGCGATAGCATTTAAAACAAAAACAAAAACAAAACAAAAACTGTAAAAAAGTATGCCAAAATGAAAAGGAAACTTCTTCGTTTTGGAGTAGGCTCATCAAATATTAATGTCCGGCCACTCAGCACTAAAAACGTTTTTGCGGTTCTGCACTTTACAGTTGGCGAAGAGAGTCTAGGCAGCTCCTTTATTGCACAACACAGAAATAAAACAAAATGAACGGAAGGAAAAGCGTTTACAAACAAAAAGCAAGAGAGATTTAAGGCATTTTCACTTGAGAGCTGAAATATTTGATACCCTCAAGCGGGAGAATGATTTGATAGCTTTTCCTTTCAATCATTTCTGTTATGAAAACTGTTTAATATCGTCATCATATTGTATTGATTGCTTCTTAAGTACTCTGTGATCTCTAAAGTAGTTGGTTTCCCTACTTATATGCCTTCCAAAAAACTACACAAAACTCAGAATACGCGCCAGGGTGTAACAAGCAGACAATCAATACGAAAGCGTTGCTTAAGCGACTGCAGCGGAAACGGAAACGTACGTCATGTACTTACTCCCAGCCACAAAAATGAACCTTCTACCCTTCTGACCAACAAATTCGTCTGTCGCGGTTTTTTCTTTTCTTTTCTTTTGGGGCAGGCAATAAAATCAATCTTGCAACGAATTTGTTACAACAACTAAGACAGCTCCGAGTGTGGCATGCATAAAAGAAAAGGTTCCCTCTGCTGGTGCTGTAGAAAGGGGGTGCAAAAGCTTTTGGCTGTAATTTTGGCCCACAGAGTTCGGCTGATGCTAGTTGCTCCAACTCTCCACTCACCCCCTCTCTCGCTCTCTCTCTCTGTTGGCGTGTCGGAAGCTACGTGCCAGGCATCCGGACACGAATACACTACGCGATAACGTAATGAACATCAAGGGGGATGGAGTGGTGCCAGAACACAGAGAGGTTAGTGGAGGAGAGTTAGGGCGGAGGGTGTTGCCCCAAACGTGTACGTGCGTGTGTGTGTGTGTGTGTGTGTGGCAAATGAATTCAAATGCTGCGTTGGCCAACAAAGGTCTCTCTCATAAGGCAATGAAAATGTTTGAAAATTAAAAGGCATTACCCATACGCAATGTAGGCCAAGCGGGGCAATTGTTTAGCCAAATGGCAACCCTTCCCCACCCTCCCCACCCACGCAATTTTCCCCCATTTTCACTTTTACTTTCCCTCTCTCTCTCCTTCCCTCTTTCCCTATGTTGATGTTTGCGCTGCACTCAAAGGAAAAGCGGAGACTAATTAAAAGCCTTTTGCCCCTTGTCCGTTTTTCCTTTTTCGCCCGCCTTTTTCCCCTCTACTGAAGGCAACGCAGCGTGAACAAAAAATTGTGGGCGTGTAAAGTGGGAGGCAGTTTGGGCGTGGAGAGGGGTGCAGGGAAGCCCAAGTGCCACCAAAGAAAGTGAAAATTATATTGACTTTGATTTTTCGCATTAATTTCCATTTTTATGACCAACCCTCGGGTTTTCTCTCTGCTTACGGAGTACAAGAAAATGAATTAAAGCGGGAAAAATAAAAAAATTAAAGAGATTTTCGAGTGGAAAATTAAATGAATTGAATTAAAAGCAAATAAAAAATAATTGCACCCAAGAAGCTTCTCGTTAAAGTGAGTTTCCTTTGCTGTAAAAACTTCAGTCCTCTGGCAGTTGACTCTCCAACTCTTCGTCCCTTCGATGGACCTCAATGGCACATGTCAAATATCTCAGCAGCTCACGGAAAATCGTGCAAAATGATATGAAATAAATTTCACAGCAAAGCGATTTTCCTGTTGTGCAACGATACGCAAAATTTATGCAACAACATGAAACATACAATTGTTGACAACAAAAAATAGATCTACATATGCATAAACTGCAAGTAAATAAATAAATAATGTGCAGATGCATCTGCAGTAGAACAGTAAATTGGTTTTTATTAAAACTTTCGCTCCACCTCATGTGCAACAACTACACGCATTTTGGGAATTGTTTTCGATACAACATTTGGTGTGCCCTGCACTTTGATGGGAAATAAAGCATACGCAATAAATAGTACAAATATAAATTTCACTCTCCCCAGCCCTGCCAACTCTCGAGTGGAGAGTAAATATTTTTGTTGAATTACGGAAAATGCAAAATTGTGCATAACTAATGTTCCAGCAATTGTCCGGAGGATGTATTCAGCAAAATAATCAGTCAATTGTGCGAATTATTTACTTGTTGTAGTAGTTTTTCCTGCTCTCAAAAATGGGAAATTGAGTTGAATAAATTTTGATGCGGTGTGCAATAAATTTGAATGTTGCATGAATTGATGGGGGAAATACAACGAAAAGGTTGTAACGTTTTAAGATCAATAGAAATCGATTAAAACTCGAAAATGTGCTGAAAAGACTTTAGAAGGAAACCAGGCGAGCACTTCATAAATCATTTTCATGCTTGTCGAATGCCTTCTGTATTGTTCCATACACAGGACTAATACTGTTGCAGCATCCTGTTGCCGCTCAAAATCCCTGAATCCCTGAAGCCCCTGAAGCTTGGCTAAAAGGCAAATATGGAGATGTAGACAACAATTTCATGCACTAGCCAGCCACATGCCAAAGGAAAGTAGTAGAAGTTGAGAGAGTTGGTTATCCATGTGCATAATAAAACAACAATCTGTCCAATAGGAAAAAGAATGCCATTTGTGAATACCGAAACGGGTTTGCCAAAGGCTCTAACCAGAGACTCCTGCAGCGGACGTGGAAAGGGGCGTGGGACGATGGGCAGACCATACCATACCATACGATACCTTGCCATATTTCAACTACAAAATGCCAAAAGGTATTTTAAGTAGTTTCGAACTGATTCCGAGCGCCATAAATTCCAGCTACGTTGACTGCGCGCGGTTGCTCCTGGTGGCTGCTGGTCTCTGTTTCTGCTGTTGCACCTGCTTAGGATGCCGGATACAGAATCCAGACAGTAAGCAGCAGGACTACACACAGACAACACTCTTACGTTACCGCTATCCCCTTTTAACGACCATAACTAGGATGCACATGAGCAAGGGAAGAGCGGGGGAGAGAATGTGGCCAGGGATTGCATCCATCAGTTTGCAAAAACAGGACGAGGTGAACGAGGCTGCCGCTGCTGCTACATCCTGCCCATAGACACAGTCTGTGATTGCATAAAAACGCATTTCTTGCCACTACAGCCTCGCTCTGCCTTTCTCTGCTGCTCACTCGTTTTGTGTCTCTGCTGGACATTTCATGGCATTTCGCCTTTGAGCAAAACTTAACTGAAAGTCCTGAAAAGTCCACCCTATAACATAGTACATTTTTTCCTCATTATTTGCCAATAAAGAAAGGCTTTTAAATGAACTAAAACACCGACTGACTGGTCTTAAATTTAAAGTGCAGCCTTACCAACATGGATTTGGACATGGATTTGCTTTATCGGAACTCTTTTAAAGGCCGAAGTTTAAGGCACGTTTTTGCAGCATATCTAGAAAACTGTCTGCCTGCCCGTTGAAAGTTGAAGCAGCTTTAAGTCTGCCCTGTTGCAAGGATTTTCATGCATAGATAACTCTTGCAGGGGATTGCAGATAGAAGGACGAGACGAAGTTTGCAAACTAAAGGCAACATTTAACAGAAAGTCCGGTGGCCGAGGGCCCAAGCAAAGAGAGGGGCATGGAGCATAGAGCAGAAATCAGCCCTGGCAACGGCACGGACATGTTTGCATGCATAAATAGCAAGAAAGGACGTGGCTATAGGGCCAGAAAGGACTGGCATATCCGATGTGTGTGTGTGCCTGTGTGTGCCTGTGTGTGCAAAGGCAACAACAAGTTATGGTTATTAATTGTGCGTATGCAAAATGCAGCAAAACTCCAGGAAGGACGAACTTAAGCGAAAGAGTAGGATAGCACTCCCCATTCGCCCACATTAAATCCGCTTTGGCAAAGTGTTGGACACAGGATTTCGTCCTGACAGAGTGTCTAAATTTATGAGGCAGGCGCAGAGGCTTGCCCTCACCGCATGTTGTGGCATGTTTTGTGTTGCATAAAGTTCACTTACCGTGAGATTGTTATCGGCCAGATCCAAATGCTTCAGCGAGATGAGTCCCTCAAAGGCGTTCGCATCCAGCTCGCTCATCACATTGCCCCTGAGGCTGAGGGCCAGCAGTTCCTTCAGACCCTCAAAGCTGTCATTCCGCACAAACTCCACCAGATTGTCGGACATGTCCAGGCTCTTGAGGGCATGCAGGTGCCACAGATTGCTGGCCGGTACGTCAAGCAGCCGATTGTTGCGAAACACGAGCACCTCCAGCGTGGACATGCCCTTGAAGCAGTTATCCTCGAGACTCACAATATTATTGTTGGTCAGATCCAGCTCCACCAGAGACGCCAGATCGCTGAGGGCTGTCGGATGCACCGTCTCGATGCGGTTGTAGCTGAGATCCAGCAGCAGCAAGCTGGTCAATCCCTTGAAGGCATGTTTGTGCAGGGAACTCACAACATTGCTGCTGAGATTGAGGGTTCGCAGCTCCGACTGATACTCGAAGTTCTTGGAGCCCAGCGTCTCGATGATGTTCTGCGACAGATCGAGTATCTCCAGCTTCATGTAGAATGGCAGCGAGAACTCCAGATTGCGTATCCGATTCAACGTCAGATTGATGTACTTTGTCTCGGGATTCAGCTGGATGGGCACATCCTCGAGGGCAGCATCCACGCACAGGGCCCTGCTGTTGGCCTCACCGCCCAAACACTGGCACTTGGAGGGGCAGAAGGCCCATAATGGTTGGGGCAGGAGCAGCACCAGCACCACCACGAGTATCACGCCCATTTCTCCTCTCAGCCAGGGTCTGCTCCTTCGTGTGGCTGTGGTTGCTGCGGTGGTCTGTGTGCGGTCAGCCATTTTGTGGGCGCTGCTATTAGATGCTGCTGCTGCTTCCGGTACTTGGGCTCGATAATTATTTGTTGTCCTGCGTGCGGCAAATGTGTGGAGTTACCACCAATTAATGCACATCTTGGCTACTTAAGGGGTTTCTGCAAGCAAAGGGAAATGCAAAGAGAAAACGTTATTGATGTTGGGTCAAAGAAGTTTCACATCGGATTAAACTCTTCAAAAACTTGCATCTTCTTCTGCTTTCCACCCACACAGAATTGTTCCTTGAAAATTAACTTATATTTTAATGAAGAGCACTCCTTTGCTTCTGCAGGAACTTATCTAGATATTTAGGAGACTCTGCTGCGCACTTTTCACACCTTTTCGTTATGGTTTTTCATTGTTAAATTTGAAAAAAAGAAGATAAAGGAGAACTTTTGCGGCAAGGCAGGAGGCCCCACCGCACCGCTACGACAGTGCCAAGATTTATGTGCATAAGTTGGTGGCTAATATTTCATAAAAGTCGAGACGCAGACAGAGCCAGAAAACTGCGAGAGGAGAGCGAATTGGAGTCGCAGAGGAAAAGCGAGAATGTCGGTTCAGTTTAGGTCGGGATAACTTCTTCGTTTTATTTCTCTAATATTTTTTTTTTTGCTTGCTGACAACTTTGCATTTTGAAAGTTGCTGAGTTGCCTGCCAGCCAGTCGGCGTAGCGTAGCAGAGAGGAGGGAGATGGGAATCTAGGCCCAGTCTGCTGCGTTTTATGGTTTATAAGTAAGTTTTGCATAATGCAGTCCATCCAGACCGTCTGATAGCTATGGCCATGATGAGCTCTGTCCGCAGGAATATCATTTTGAATGCATATTCATGAGCGAGCAGAAATAAGAAGAAGGCTGGCATGCCTGAAATTTGAATGGAAATGGGGAAAATCCTGCAGACATATTTTTAAGCTTTTGACTCGGATTTAGATTCACTTAAATCATATATGTACATAGGTACTTGGCCAGCGGCAAGCACTCAATTAAGTAATTAACATGGGGGGCATGGGGGAACATGTGTGTGTGTGTGTGTCCCATTCAATTATGTTTGTCTTTTCTGTGGCTGTTTGTACACTGATTTGCATACAAAAGCACACAAATGGGCGCCACAAGAAGCCCCCTAATCTACCCTCGATTGCTGTCCCCTCACCAAACACACACAAACACAAACCTGCATGTGTGTGGCCACTGAACAATGGCCTTAACTAGCTGTAAAACAAATAATAAAGAGTAAAAACGACGCAAACTTTAGAGGTTTCATAATGTCAACAAAAGTTGAAAGCTCACACAGAGAGGGAAGGCACTTCATCTCTACCAGCTCTGTCCCTCTCTTTCATGCAGGTTCTGATTGTGGTTCTCATATTTTACGCTTGAATAAAATTGTTCAAAAAAAGAGCTGCTCTTTTGCCCTGCTCTCGTGCTCTTTTCCCTTTTTGGCAAAGTTCGAAAAAAAAGTGAAAATTGTGAAAAATTCACTCCCGTGTGAATTATTAAGTTTCACAGTGGCAGTTCTCTCTCCTAGACTCTGCTCTCTTGATACCCTTTTCCGTTGTGGCACTGCTTTTGGGTCTCTCTTTTTTCACACATCTCTTAAGCTATTGATAAATTATTAAGATTATTATGTAAGATTATTCCTTGGAATCCTACGTTCTTATCGTTCGATCAATCCTCATTCCGAAGAGTGTTTTATTCAACCAAAAAAAAAGGATATATGGCTGCGTGTGTGTGTGTTTGTGTTTGTGTTTGTTTGTGCAAAAAGCAAAAGGAAAGTTTTTAATAAACTTTCGCACGGAAAGCGAACTCAACTTTGGTTCGTTTTTTGAACCCAAACCCCGCCCGCCGCCGCTGTTGAGTCTTCCACCAAATTGTTTGTCGGCTGTGACCGAAACGGTAGAGAGAGGCCTACAAGTGGAACGGGAGGGGTGCAACGAGGGGTAACGGCGCACACACATACACACACAGACTTAATTTCATTGTGGCAAATATTTTGAAGGCAAATTTGCATCCCAAAGAGTGTTGCGGGGGGTGGAAGTGGGTGGGCGCTTGGTGTGCAGATTGAAGTCAGTTGATTGTTGCGTCATGGAGTGGGGGGTTTGGTAAGAAGGTCTGGTGCTCCTATGTCAAAGGCCAACAAGTTGAAAGTTGTTGCCTGCACTTTTCGATGCTCTCCTTTGCCCAGAAGCAAAAGTCGCGTAGAGGGCGGCGGGAGGTGCTGCGCTTAATGGCTTAATTCAATGAAAGCAAAACTTAAATTGGCATCGAAAGAGGCAATGCGGTAGGTTATGATTGGTAGCACAAAGTGAGCAAACTATCGAAGCAAAAATATTGAAGAGTAATCATTTGTCAGCCTTTGAAAGAAAGGGAAAAACCTTTAAGCTTTAAGCATATTTTAAACTTGGTTTAATCTTTGGGACTTGCTCATTTCATTTAGGCACATTTCGCCTCTATTATCTGCTTCTATTTTCTGTTCCGTTTTGCCTGCTTTACTCTTGCTTGCCACCATATTCATTCGCTTTATGACTGAAGCTAAAACCAAAAAATCCAATCAACACACATACCGAAAGCAGCGGCAGTTCCTCCAACCACTGCCACGGTCTGTGGGCTCCTCTTTCCTCTTCAGTTTTTATAAGCTTCATTTAATTATATTGACATTGTTTGAGCTTTTCTTTTGCTTTCTTTCTTTGCAGGTAATCCGCCCAGACTTGTGCGACTTGTTCGTTCTACGTGGAAATGACAAGAGAAAATTCAAGCTCAAGGAGTGTGACACCCGAAACGAGTGCCAGTCCTTATCCCACGTTCCTCATTTGAACTTAAATGCCATAAAAATGGCAAAATAATGTCAGACGAAGAGAGTAGGAGCAGCAGGAGCAGGAGTGGAACATGAGCGGGTGAGTGGAGTGGAGCAACAAATGCTGATAATAGAAAAGAGCAAGAGGGGATGGCTGGAAGAACGGCCCCTCCAGTACCACGCATAAAGTTTGCACATAAATTTCCACCGGAAAAAGCGAACCGCTGAGCATGCCATTGACTTTAAAGGCCACAAATGGGGGAGAGAAAATCGAGGCGAGGTCAGGGTTCAGCAGTAGCAGCAGCATGCCCCATGCCCCATGCCCCATGCCCAAGTCAAGTCAAGCAATCAAAGGTGAAAAACTTTTGTGAACTATGCGAAGAGCACACAAAGTCAATATTAATATTCACTTAGTCTAGGAGGCTGGCTTCAGGGGGGAGGTTTGGATAACACTCAGACTGACAATGGCAAGAACGGGGACCAGAAGCAGAAGCCAGAAGCCAGAAGCCAGACATAGAGCTACAACTGTGGAGAAACCAGGCAGGAAAAACGGCAGGGAAATGCCAAGCAAATTGAAAATGCGACGAAAAACGTGAGATGCCGTCGTCTCGCACTTGGATCTCCTCCTTCTTCTGGTCCTCCTGCCTCTTCTCTTATTGAGCAACGTGCCCGAGTGCGTTTATTTTTATCAAGATTAGCATTTGCTCCTCTTCACGGCATGGTCTGTGAGACTTGGGGTCTGTTATTGGATAGGCAAACACAATACAAAAATAAGCAAATCAAAAAAAAAAAAATCAAGAAACAACAAAAAGAAAACGGCATAGGAGAAACAGAGAGAATTCCCAGAGTTTGCACGCACAAATTGCACAAATCTGCTCTTGGGTTTGAGGGGAATGCCTGCTGCCATTCGAGATGAATTGTTTTTGTCACCACAGTGCAGTGGCAGTGGCAGTGGCAGCTCCCACCCTCCCCCGCACTCCTTTCCATTTTTGGCACCAACTTTTCGACGTTTTTAGTGGCTTTTCCCGAAAATCCCTTTCTTAGACTTTGTCTGCGAGGCCTGATTTGTCGGCATCCGTAATTAATTGAATAGCTAAAACTCTCAGCAAAGACAGATGAAAGCTGAGCTCTAGGCACCGAAGATCTATATAGCTTTTAGTTCATATATTTTTTGTAGCAATCAAAGGTGCTTTAACATCAACTCTTGCTGAATCAACATTTATCTAGTTTCTGCATTGAATGCATTCCATTTCCAACGGCTAAACTAAACCCCTTTTGTTCCACAACTCTTTTCAAACATGAAAACCCTAAGCTTTAAATTAAATACAAAAAGCACCAGTGAAGCTCCGTTTCGGCAAAAACCCCACTCATTAAAAGAAAACAAACCCCACTGAAATGTCTGCAAATAAAGTGCAGAGCACCCCAAAAAATGTTGGCCTGGGAAAATGAAAAACTTTGCGCACATGTGTGTCAGTCTTGACGCTGGCCAGGAATTTTTATTTAATTTATATATGTACCAGTATGTGTATATGTATATATTTTTTTGTCCAACACTTTGCTTGATTTGCCAAAAAAAAAAAGACGAGTGTCAGCGAGGAAAATGGCTTAATAACCAAGAACCGCGAGGCATGGGGCATGTGGCACGTTCACACAGAAAGAGAGCGAGAGAGAGAGAGAGATGAAGGCACACAGACTCCTCGCAATTGCAGACGCCGTGGCAGACGCCAGACGAGACGCCATGCGGCAAAATAAAAACCAAAATATAACAACAACAGAAAAAGAGCCCAACACAAGTGAGGTATTTAAAAAAAAAAAAATATATATATATAAATATATATGTACATATAGGCATGTGTACGACTATTTGAATACCCTATGCGGCAGAGAGTATTTGTGTGTTTGGATTGAATGTTTGTTTTAATTCATATCTCAGCCGATCACCGACAAAATCAGATGAATTCAAACAAATTGTGAAGATGAATCTACTCTACATTCGTTTTTTGTCCGCACATTATTTTACATAAAAAATAACATTTAAAATGATTCGTTTGCTGTGAATGCGTTCAGTACATTCTAATCTGCAGGGGTATCAAGAGCTTCGGACTGCAAGACTAGCCTTTATTTCGAGTTCATACAAAACTTCGTACATATATATGATATCTATCCAAAGTTGTGACTGTCTCTGTGCATATATCATTTCGTGGAGCGTTTTGCGAAGTGTTTTGCCGTAGAAGTAAAGGAAATAATGCGACAATTGCATTAAGTCCACAAATGTCAGAGCAGGCGCGGAGCGGAGAGGGGCAGAAACACACATCTAGTAAGGAAAGGAGGAGGGGACGCAGCGGACTAGCAAATGAAATATTTTATCTTTATATGCAGTTTCACTGTTTATCTCCTTCATTCTTCTTTACGTTGCTTTTAGCCCATTTTTTTTTTTGGGTGGTCTCGCGCTGCGGTGCACTAAATGTTTAAAATGGTTTAGAGATCCTTAACTCGTTTTTATTGTGCCCCATGTTATGGCTAAAATAAAGTGGTGTAAGAGGCAGAGAGTAGAACAGATACAGAGTGGAAATGTGTGTGTGTGTGTGTGTGTGTGTTTTCTGTCCTTCCGCTTAAGCTTCAGATGATATAGAAGCTGTTGAAACCCTCACGACTTAAGCACTTTATGGTTGGCAAAATACCCCGAAACAGTGAGCGCGGGGAAAAGAGAGAACAAAACCGGAAAATGTTGGAAATTCCAAGAAAAGACAAGAAACCTTAGGAAAAATATACCAAATTTAAGGAAAATCGGGAAATCATTACAATCATGACTCTTTGTAACATTCAATATTTATACCTTTAAAATTGATTTAATTCCTCTCAACTCTAAATTGATGTGCATCATTGCTCATACTCAAAACTAAAATCGATATTTTACATGGCAGTTCCCAAAAAAAACTGTACACAGAATCCACAGAGTCCAACGCACTTTGGCGCTTTGGCTGCTGCCTCAGCAGAAGTCCCACAGAAAAAAACGGTCAGGAAATAAATGAGCCAAGCTGGCCAGGCAACCGAAATAAAAGAACTTTGGGCCAGTGGCACAATAATTTGGCACGCAAACCTTTTTTTTTTTTTTTGCTGCTTCACCCCACACCACACCCCTAGAGAGGGTAGTGTTAGGGGGCAACATGCATAAAAGATGAAGTGAAGTACGTTTTCGGGAGCCAGAGAGCCACGGACCATAGAACATTAAAAAATTGCAAAAAGTCAACTCCTAAAAGGTACTAGAGGGACCAAAAGGGTAGCCAGAAGCAGGGGTAGAATCTGGATTTGTGGCAGGTCCGTTGCCCTCCCTCTTCCTCTCTCTCTCCCTTTCTGTCTCTTATGCTGCGGTCATTGTTTGCTTTGCGGATAAACATATAACAATTAGAGAGACCCGATTCCCAGCTCCATTTCTCTTTGTCTCGTTGCTTTGTTTTGTTGTATTGTCCACTTGGGAAATGTTTCGGGGAGGACAGTGTGTATTAGGGGAGGTCATGCCGCCACATATGAGATTCTCTCACACACACGTAGACTCTGTGTCCTGGGTCCTTTGCTAAATATTTGAGTAGATTTCATATTTAATTCACTTTAAGGGCAGTGAAGTTCGTTTTTTGTTTGTCAGTACGTACTCTGTTTCAAGACTACTATGCAAATGAGCCCCGGAAAATTTGGGTCAAAGTTCAGGACGTAGGCGTGTCTGCCTGGTTGAATATTAATGGGGCTCCACCATACGAGTGGACGCCCCACAGGGCTCTAGATAATGTGTGTGTGGGCCTGGGACTACCTCAAATAGGAAAAATGTGGCATTTAATGTGGCAGAAAATTAAGTTTTAAAAGGAAAACACATCACAGAATGTTCCAAAGAAAAGTAGAACTGATCCGAATATAAATATTCAAATCTTTCACAACTTTTCACTCTTCCCAGCCCCATCTTTAAGTTCTTGTCGCACAAAAATAAATTCCGAATATATCAAAAGGGTTAAGAGGGTCTCGGGGCGGCCCCTTTCCATCCCTTTGCGTATGCAAAATATGTTGTAAAAATGTAACAGTCAGCAAACATAAATTAATTTAACAAATGAACAGAACTAAACACACACAGAATAACGACACGAAAGAATCCCAGGAATTTAACCTGAGAACATAAATTTCTTCTGCCTCCCCCATACATTTATCGCCCCTTTTCAGTGGAGGGAAAAGAACCCCACAGTCTTCTCCCCTTTTCAGTTGTGTGTGTGGCGGGAGGGAAAAACAAATATTCATTAATATGCGAGACACATTTGGAGCAGAGCTGTGCAGACCAGACCGGGCACGGAAAATAACAAAGAAATGGAAAAGAAAACGAAAACGAAAACGAAAACGAAAACACTTGGAGGGGGACACGGAATTTTAGAAAATTTATTAATTGGCAGCTAAATAAGCTGCAAGCATTAACATGTTCATAATTCTTATTGGCGCAAAATAAAAAGGGAAGAGACATTTTGACTTAAGGTTGGGGGTTGGTTTGGCAATACAAACGACAGCAAAATATGTGGAAATACTAGGGGGAGATAATGCTATAAGGTCAGAGAATATACAGCTGAAGGAGGCAAGTTTTCGATGTCCTTGAAGATTCATTATTTTATATGACAGCTAGATGATATATTGCTTCGATAAGAACAATATAATATATAGAACAAATAATTATTCTACAAACTATCGTTCCTGTGATCTGAGGCATTGGGGCTTTAAAAAAGAGCAGCGAAAATGGGTCAATGATACACAAGTCACATATGTCTATGTGTATGTATTGTCATATTTACATATATCCTTGTGTGGAGCCATGGCGAGCAGCCCAGCAGAAGTCAACGACAGACTGGCATCGCTTATTGCCAGCTGTTGAGCGCCATTTCGTTTAAGTGCTTCTCACTTTACAGAAAAGGACTGGGCCAGATCCAAAGGCAGCTGCTGGCCACGCCCACACATTGCTGAAGCAGGGGCGGAATCAAATAAGAGAATGAGTCGGAGAAGAGCTGAAATTCATGGCCTTTTAATTGCAGTTGGCAGTGCCTGGAAAGAGGAAACGAAAAGACAGTGAGGGAGGGAGGAATGAAGGAAGAAGTCGATGAAGCATTTTTGGGTTTGCCATCGATTCGCTCTCCCTCTCCGTCTCATTTTCTTTTTCTCTTATACGTATAAATATATATGTATGGATACAATTGTTAATTGAATGAAGGCCAACTTGAAAAATGGGGTTGACTCTCCCGACGACAACCTGTTGATTCTGCTGCCACAGAGTGATTTATGGTTAAGTGCTGTGACTGGAATAGAACGGAAATTCGGGAAGAGAGGAAAGCCAAATGAAGCGACAATTTACTTCTAATTAAATATCAGAATGTTCGGCAATAAATATTGCTCTTAATTTTAAGACAAGTTCGTCTCAGCTTCTGGAGCTCTATTTTTATATTGATTTGATTAATTTTCACTCATCGACCGCCATAAATATTGGCCATCAACAGAAACAAAAAAAGGAAAGCGTTTTCGGGGTAAAAATAAATCAAAAACAAAATCAATGAAATTCAATGAAGTGACTCCGCCATACAGGCGGGTTCCGTTGGGCTCCACACGAAAAATTGCTTTACCAATTTATTTATAACCAACAAAAAAAAAAAAAAAAAAGGAAAAGAGGCAACCACAAAGAGGTTTCCCGCATGTTGGGCTGGGCGTAGGGGATGTAGGATGTACGTGGGGGAATGCCTATAATTGAATTATTTTTACGCATACAATTTATTTATTCATGATTCCTGCATGTGTGTGATCCAGCAAAAAGGAAGCCTACACTGAAGGCACGTTCAAGTCATTTAAATTCATTTTGTACAAAGGAAGCCAGGGTCGCCAGGCAATGTAAATAATTTCAGCGCAAGAAGACTAGAAAGAACAAAAACCAGAAAAGGAAACAACACAATTTCCTAGAGTTTACTTAGACAGAATATTTCCATGAAAACATAAATCGGATTATAAGTCGAAGCTTGCCGCTGAAAGCAACCAGAGCTATTACCTGAGGGGAGTATTTAGAGCAGATATTTACCTGAGGCCCACCCTTTTCCTTTATGTTCTACACAAATCAGATGAGGATAAGGGAGTTGAGTTTGGTCTTAAAAAAAAAAGCCACGTTGTCAGCTGATGATAGAATTCGGATCAGAGTTTGCATCATGCTAGAAATGTCATTGAAGTGCGTACTTCCTGTTGCCCTTTTATGCCCTGACTGTCCTGACTGTGACATGGATTTAATTACATTTTTGCGCATTGCCGGCATTACTTTGACGGGGGTAAGATAACTGGGAGCGGGAATCTATGAGAAGAGAGGAGACTTAGAGAAAGAGCTGGCTCCACATTGTTAGTGTTTGCACTTATCATTTTCACTCTCATTCCCTCGCTCTCTTTCTTCTCTTCTCTTAGCTTCTCTTTCTTTGCACTTTTCACTTTTCCACAGCTGCGAATTTGAATTTTTACGGAAATGGAAAGAGCTTTTGGCAATGTGGCACAGGAGAGCTCTTCACTTGGGCATTTCCGTCTAGCATTAAAGTCCCTTCCCCCCGTCATTACCATGCTCCATGAATGGCATCCTGGTCAGGAAATGTGATGGAAACTTCTTTAAATCTGCCCACAGACAGCCCCAGACTGACACAGGAAAACGTCTCCAACAGGTGGAACGAGGGGCAACAAATTGGTTCTATATGGCATTTCCGTAGAGTTTCAGTTGATGAAGGGGAGGTGTTAGAACAGCAATGCTGCGAGGGAATTGTGTAATTAGAACTCACCTGCATGCGGATGGGAGATTTGAGAAGTGTTCTGTCCTCCAGTGGGATGTCTGCCTGATGCCAATTATATCATAGCTCTGAAAAGAAGACAAAAACTGGGTCAGCAAATGCATTGGCATGAAGGGTTGTGTGTGTGTGTGTGAATTCCTGCTAAGACTTGCTAAAGGAGAAAAAGAGCTTGAGTGTTTGTGTGGGGCAGTCTACCACGTCTATCTGCCACTCATACCACCACCCAAGAACGCCTTTAATTGTGAGTCAACGATAAACGATAACCTTATCGATTGCTCGCTGAAGCATAACGTCTGCCTGTTGCACTCACCCCCAACCAGTTTGCCAGCAACTTTTGGCCTGCCAACAAAGTTTTCATCACTGTCAGCGGTGCTGACAACTCAACTACAATCTCCCAGAGGGCGGCGAGCAACATGCTGTTGCACAAACAAAACTGCACGCATGCATAAGCACAGACAGGGCTGCAAAGACATGAAGTTCGCCTAAATCGCAAAGAGAAAAGGGGTCTTCGGAGAGTACCTGTACTTGGGGAGCTACAAGCTACCCATTCCGAATGTTCCTAGAACTTTGATCCGTCCCTGGTTTTGTTTAAATTTAAAATGCATCATGCACCATTCCAGGACACAATCAGGACACGCACTAATCGCCACATCAAGCTGTCAGGCGGCTTGTCATAGATTTCGTTGAGTAGTGTACACTGCACACTTTTTCTGCACGTAGAAGTAACACAGGATGCCATGGTAAAGCTCAGTTTGCTTGGCTTGCTTGGCTGTCAGTTGGGCTTCCGTTTTGGAAATTTGTTTGCAAATTTGTATACGGAGAGTGTGGAGTTTGTGGCGATGGATGGGGGATGTTGGGTGGAAAAACTCTATGCAACATTAATGAGTAGCATATTCTCTCTCTCTCTCTCTCTCTGTCTACCGCTGTCTGCGTTTGTTGCCAAATCAGAGGCAACGTTGCGTATGCTTGATCTTGTTACACGCACAGCTAAATGTCAATTTATTTGCCACACTCCAAGGCACTAAGCCGACGCCGAGTAGGAGTCACCGTCATCGTCTCGGTCTGGTCTCTGCCTACTCAACCTTCTTCAGTTCTCTGCATGAACGCGTGGCAGCCACATCCCTGCTTGGCTCTTCTGCCTGTTGGTCTTTCTGTCGTGTTTGTCTGATGAGCTGTAATCGATGAGCCGCACTGGTGCTGTGCCATGCCGTTGGCTCGACTGAAGGACTCACAGTTGAATGCCTTCCGCCTGTTGCCTTTGCCTCTCTCCCTTGTCAATTTGATTAAAACTCATCGTTGGCAATCGAATTATGCTGCGAAATTGATGCTTTTGAGGGAAGCTTTTTAATGATTTTAATCATCATTTATTCTAATTACATAAATAATTATCCTTCAAGGCTGCGGCTTACACTGCTATTGAAAGGGCTTAGCATGCAAAATGAGACTGTCATTAAAATGTTTTAAATGGCTTCATATTGATTCCAAAATTATGATTATTTCATTATTTCAACAAAGTACAGACGAACTGAAGGAATGCATTTGACTCGTTCAATGAAAGTTAAAAGCGGTTTACCAGCAAATAGTTTCTTTGACCACCTTTAAGTCATGACAAAGAATCAAAAACCACAACCGAGATGCATTCCAAATTGTTTTTTGTGGTGTATTTGCACCTGGAATTGTATGGAATATTCATAGAAAAATGTCAATCAAACAGAAATCAATTTTTGCCCTCTGCTTAACATTACTTTTACTTATTTTAAACTTATTCTCACTCTCTTTCCTTATTTATTTTTAAGGCCGCCTGCCAGCGTCGTCTGGCTGGCCCCCCATTGTCTGCAGTTCAGGTGCATTTTACACCCTATTTATGGGGCGGACTACCATCTACACAATAAAAAGACCAACCACATAAAACCCCAAGATGAGAGAAATCCGAGAAAATTGAAAACGAAAGTTGTAATGCCAACAGCGGAGAGGAAGGACGGGACTGACGAGCGGAGAGGCTCCAATGGAAAGCCCGTAAGCGAGAAATATTATTTTTTTCCATTCTTAATATATTTTGCAAGCAGACCAATGTCTGCTACGGGTGAAAAGAGCTCTACTACTGCTGCTGCTGCTGCTGCTACTGGTCACAGCTGATGGAGAAGTAAAGGGAGAACCAGAGTCAATAATGTCGATAGACGGCAAGGAAAAATACTCCCTGGGTTTGGGGGTGGCTGGGCGTCGAGGGGTGCAGGACGAGAGAGCAGCCGCCTGTAGCACGATTTTCGATTTCATTGCTTTGTGGTTATTGTTTCGGGGGCCGGAGCCCAGACAAAGGGTCGAGACCCATGGCCAAAGTCAAAACCAGACCCGGACCTCAGCAGACCACGAAATGAATGCCAAAAACAGCGACGCAGCAAAAATATTGAACCCCGAGCAAGGGTACAGGGAGCCAGGACCCACTGCAGAAAGGGGCAGAGGGATCGCTACCTCCTTTATTGGTGGACATAGATGAAAGCAAGCTGTGGAGTCTTTCCCCTAGCTATTAATAAAATACCAATGATGGCTTAAAACCGGCAAATCTTTTGCTTCACCATTTACCTCTGTCGTCTGTCCCTCTTGAAACCATTTTGCTCCTTTCTTCTGTCTCCATTATCCACGCTCTCTCGTCTCCATTCTCACCTCGGTTTATCCATGGCTCTGTGTCTGCATTCTCACCACCGTTTTATCCATTCTTTTCTGTCTCCATTCACTTTGTTCCTTTGCTGGCTTTTCTACTTTTCTAGCAATTTCGCGCCACGATTTGGCTTTCACTTTGACTTTGGCATTGGCTTTTGTTCCCATTTCAATGCCAGACACGGATCGAGCCCAAAGGAGTTGTTACAGTCACAGGTTTTCCATTCGTTGGAAAGTTGGTTTGGGGAAAGCGGAAACGGAAATCGCTGGACAACTAACAAGCAGCAGTCGACGCGACTGACAAGAGAATGGCGGGAGCCTTCATTTTTCTCCTTCAACCCCTCCACATCCACAAAGCTCTGAAGCTCCTCCAAAGCCAGCAGACAAATGTTGCTTTGTTCCCCTTTCTCTCTCGAAATTTCTGTTTCTCTGGCTGTGATTGTTTGATGTCCCGTCTGTGTTGTCTTTCCATGTGTTTTTTTGTTTTGTTTTTGTCTGGAATTCAGCGACCAATTGGCAATTATTTTAGACAAATAATTGCCCAAGCCAATAAATTGTTTGGGGAACGCCAAGCAGGTCCCAAAGCCAGTTAGTTTTTCTTTTATTTTTTTGTCTCTCCAAAAGTACACTCCTTCCCCCATCTTTGCAGCTGTCGCTCCTGCCTGTCCTCCCTGTCTCGCCCACTCATTTCTCCAGACATATTCAAACTAATTGAACGCGCTGTAAATCAGAATAGACTGTGCACCCCTTGGGGGCAACATGAACATGAGCCACTGTTTCGCACTTCTTCATCAGAGTCTTAGGTTACCGAGTGCCTGGAATCTGACGGGGGAGTGCCTGTGTGCTTCGAGTAAGTGTTTGTTATGACAGAAGCCCCGCTCAAAGTAAAGGCAAACTTCAGTTCAATGTTGCGGCTAACTGGTTCAGGAAGGTCTAGAGCGGGGGCTTTGGTTTCGAGCTCTGTCATATGAGACACTTGAGAAAGAATTTTGTGCTGCTGCTGCTGCTGTTGCTGTTGCCGATGGGAAACTCTCAAGTTGTGGCGTGGGCGGCGGACATACGCACAGAAGGTAAAACCAACCTCCTCGTTATTTTAGCTTCGTTTGTGGGTCATCTGCTGGGATTTCCTGGATTCCGGATTGTTGAGTCAAAGCTGATGCTAAGCGGCTTTTAAATGCTTCTCAAGGGTCTCTGTGCATAGTCCTTGATTTACACCGAGTTATGGAATGACTAATTGGCTCTGGCTCTCGTTGAAGTATGGGATGCATGGACAGGTTCAACGGAAAAGTGTAAGGGCTGATTACAGGGCATTTAAGTACTTAAACTATGAATGCAGCAGGTTGGTTAATTGAGCATTAGGATGTCTTGGAGCAACTCTAGACTGTGCAATATATTTTCCATGATTTATGTATCTTCTAAATGGTTTCCCAACCTCCATAAATATTGCAAAGTCTTCACTTTCCGCAGCAATCCAACTGCTCTCACACTCAGTGGCAGCTAAAAGGTTTTCTTGTTACTTTTATTTATATTTTGTAAAGATATATTCAATCTGTAGACAGAAGCAAACTGCAGAGCGTAGGAACGGATAGATGACTGCTGACAGTTGATTGAACACCTTTTTATTCTGGTGGAATGACAAGAACGCCCCACGGGTGACATTTCTCAAAACACTTTACGACTGCAGCCAGTCAGACAGACAGACGGACAGCAAGCACAGCCAGCCAGTCTGTCCATCAGTCAGGCAGCACCTTTTGGCCATCATTTGGTGGATGGTTAAGGTGTTGCAGCTTTGATTTACGAGGGAGTTTTCCAGAGGATACCATTTGCATAGAGAGCCTGGACTCTGTGCCCTGGAAGGAGGAAGCCAGCGGCCAATCATTAAAACGTCGGCATGATGAGTCCTCTCTGGCTCATGGTCCTGAGGCTACACTCGCGGTTTTAAATTACCATTTTAATGTTGCCCACTGCCGCTGATTGATGTGCCATGATGCCGATGTTGCTTTACCATAGGGGAGGGGCAGGCGCACGAGTCCCATCAGTGCTGCGGCAACAGCAGCAGCAGCAGTCAAAATGTAAATGCTTTTCATTCGAATGAAGCGTTTTTCCTCCTAACAAGCTTTTGGCATTTTGTCTACCGTTTTTCGCTTTAAAGTCATAAAAGCAGAGGAAAAAGATTTCCTTTTAATGCTGACCATAAAAGTGAGCTGAACTTTTGGGTTTCAGCCTTCTCTAAACTCTCACCACCTCTCTCTCTCTCTCTCTCTTTCTCTCTCTTTCTCCACCGACTCCACCCCCTTTCTCTTGCTCACCATTCTGTCCCTGTCTCTCACCTATTAACAGATACTTTGAGACACTTCATTAGGCCCTGCTGTTGCCACCGCCACTGCCATTGCTTCTGCTTCTGCTTCTGCTT